GTCACACACGTAGTCGTAGGTGCCGTGGGTGAGGGTCTGCACGCAAGCGTTGCTTCCCTGTCCTAGCCGCCACAAGCGTGTTGTCCAGTCCACCGAGGATGACAACACAAGTCCTCGCAATGGCTTGGACGCACTGAGGGCGGCGAGCCATTACAAAGCGGGCGAGAGCGGGGTTTCATCAAACGGAAAACACATGCCACCAACCAGAAAAATCAAGCATCCGCTGAGAAAGAGTTGCATCTGCGAACAAGCAGCAGCGAGGAGTATGCATACGTATGAGCCTCCGTGCTTGATCGTACTAATTCCGCCACACGAAAAGTACAAGACAAGGGCACGCAATTTGCAAACGCGAGCAGGAAGATCTTAACCTGCCTGCCTCGCTTAAATTACCTTGGGTTAGCATCGACCGAGGTAACGAGTCCGTAGTGTCCCGAGTACTCCTGCCAGCGACAAGAAGGAGGGAGGGAGGGAGGGAGGGATGCGGCAATCCCACAGGAAGGGGGAAGGGATATCGATAATTCTGTTCAAAAGGAGGTATATATGGTCTTCCGCGCCGACCTACCCTCGTCGTGCACCCAGAGCTCGAGCTGAGAAGAGTCGAGAACAGAACAGGCTACCAAGAGAACGAGCACATCTTGAGTTTCTTTGGAAACCTCATGAGGGCCAACCAAATCACACGACACATACATGGTAGAAGAGGTGTGTGTACTCCGTAACTACTGCTGGTGAAGCGACATGTACGTGTAAAGGTTGAACCATTCGTGACACAAGAGCCGCGCTGTTTCGAATCGGAAGCACTTCGGGTACCAAGCCCATGGGTTCTAATATCTACCCCCAATGCTTTGCTGAGCTACTGGAGTATTGGCCGCTACGCACGTGAGCGGGACATGGAGACGACAAGGCATGGGTGGATGTCTCTTTGTCAACAACTCGATCACCTCGACAACGCCCGAGTTGCGGAAGTGCAGAGGGGTGGTGTAGATACCGCCGGACTCCGACCCCACCACCTGAAGGAAGAAAGCCGAACGATAGAGTCAGCAAACCATTCAAACCAGACACTGAATGGACGATTCGACCCTGCAATCCAACACAAGTCATCCAACGCCAGTAGTTGTACAGACAAATATTGAACGCACACACTTCGCACGGGCAATTCGCAGCACCGCACACCATTCCAGAGTGTACAACGCAAATGGACCACACAGCAACTCTGAGGTTTGACAACGAAAACTAAAAATTATTGCAGTCAGTAAGCAGACAACTGGTAGTCAAGAAACCCTGAAACTGAGCATGGCGTAATATGATGCCATGCGACTCGCAGGACGGTTTCGTACACACAAAGCCGGTTTGGCCCGGTTCCATGATAGATTCAAACTACGAAATACACTTGTGGAGATTCGATGCTCTGTAACTTAGAAACCCATGCGATAAAAATCGTCTGTACGCAACAAAAGCAACGTGACCGTGGACAAGGAAGAGGGGCGGCTGAAACCCTCCTCCCAACAAAAATGAAGGCAAGCACCGCCGAAGGAAGGTGGAAGACAAACAACTCCTGTGTGGCGCCGTCGGGCGAGTCAAAGGACGCCGACACGCGTAAAGCTGGCATTCAGAACAAATCGAACGGCAGCACAGACACGGCACGTCAATGACACCCACTCATGATGCAAGTTTGTGGGAAGGTGCTGTGGGTCCATAAAAAAACTTACGAGATTCTTCTGCTCGTCTCCTTGTGCAACGGCCATGCTACTGATCGTCACTGGCTTGCCCGCGTGACTGCGCGTTGAAAAGAACACGACGCCGAAGTTTGCAGTCAATTGCCAAGCAACATGTAGCCATGAGCTACAAGCCATGAGCAGCGAAGACGTCGCAGGCGAGAGGAAGATGGTCTACGAGCGACCGAAACAAGTTTTAGCTTCGTTGAACGAGCGCATCGGTTTGGTAGCTGGTGTGCGGTCCTGAAAATGCACACGCCAACAGTTACATCAAGAGGCAGCCAGATGAGTGCGAGGGCAACAACGCCACGGCGCCTACGACAACTTGCCCAGACGCACGTCCTCCAGCCAACCGTTTCCTCACGACAACGATGGCAGGTGCCATGCACGAAACGGTTGGCTGCAATACGGACAAATGGGCTAGCGTGCACATGAACATCTCCGCGTCAGGGCTGTTCGTTCCACACGCTACTACACCAGACAGAGAAGGCCGGCAAACACAGCCTCACGTGAGGTTTATGTCTTGCAGCGGCTGGCTGAGCTGACTTGGGTTCCAGGTGGACACTCGTCCTTCCGTGGAAGCTGTTAGCAGAGAAGGCGCGTTGTCGGTGCCTGGGGAGATGGGGACAGAAAACGTTGCAAACATTACACAAAACGCTTAGTCGTGGTGCCTCCGAAGCTAAACCCACCATGATATATCTTCAAGGACATAATGTGACGTGAATCAAATCAACTTCATGCGGCCTTCATGTTACCCGCCACCGCACCTCCGATGTGCAAGTTGTAGACCGGGTAGGTGTGCCCCGTGGCGGAGAGAGGCGTTCGCTGCACCGGCAAAGACTTGGCTCGGGTGTCCCAGACCACCACCTGACGTTCAACGGAGGCGGCCAGAACACAAGATGTCAACCAACACACCGACCGATACATATGCACGGCAAGGGATACGGCAGGTCGCCAATAGAGCGATACCATCGACAAGGTCTATCCGGGTGGAACGGCCGTGCCCATCGGTGGACGGAATCCTGCTCGAGGTTGTAGTAGAGACAAGTCGTGTCGACAAACAAAGGCAAAGCTCTGGAACAGCAATCTCGTATGGAGACGTTCACCAAACCGACGAAATCGCCAGTTCGGCAGGACGCTCAATACGCGAGATTTGGAAAACTTGAAGTCGGTCCGGGTGTTCGTTTGACGCTGTTTCGATACCTGTCCAGAGTAGGTCCCTCCGATGATGACGTGCGTGTCGAAGGGGTGGAACCTCGCCGTGAGCACGGGGCTCTGAGACGACAGCTGGTACTCTGGCCTGTGCTGCATCGCCATAGACCTGCACCGACACATATCACAACAAACCACCCCACCGCGGGCTCTCATTGGTCGACTTCTTCTTGGGATCCACGGCTGAGCAATCCGCACAGAGCACGCACTCAGACTCACTCACGTACACAACAGAACATGTCTTTCCCCCCCAAAACTCCCCTACAGCAACGGCGACATATTGGCGTGGGGTCAAGGAAACGTTGCACTAAACACTCCAGCCCCCCTCCCTTCCCCTTACCACACAAGGACAAGGCCGTCCGCATCGTTGTGCAAGGCTGAGGAAGAGGTAGCATCGAGGCCGTGCCCTCGAGCGGTGTAGCTCGCCAGTACCAACTCCGGATGGTGGGGTGACCACTGTAAGTCCGTCAGGGACCGTTCCTGACACCATCGGTCCTGAGTCACAGTCACGAGGTAGGAATCACAACAAACATTGAGTAAACAAAACAAACACATACAATGGAGAATTCCCACGAAAACTCTCGACAAGATACTAAGGACCGAGCAAACACTTGTCACAACATAGCGTTTAGTTGATCGTCATCGAAAAAATATGAATCCGAAGTGCGTGTCGTTGTGCAAGAGGCAAGCAACGCGGGTGGGAAATCCAGCCAGGAACCGATGGCTGTAGGCACCGAGGTGCACGCGTCTGCACTTTTCAAATGCTTAACATGCCATCAATGCTCATGACCTACATAGGTGCATCATGTTTCGGTAAAATCATTCAATATCGTGGCAAGAAAGCAGTCCGACAGGTGGCTGTGTTGGCATGGCAATAGCTGGGGCGCGCATCCTTTTGTGTTCCATGACATGATGCACCAAACTGCGTGCGGCGTAACAACTAATCAGTACCAAACGAAGAGTCACGACGATTGTCGCAGGCGGAAGGACGTCCACCAGGTATTGCAGAGAGACAGACAGAGAGAGAGAGAGAGAGAGAG